TCTTCAAGAGACAACTATGTGTGAATATTGCCTTCGTTTTATGTCAGAATAATATTCTACTGATTGGATAAAACATGTTGTGTTTATCTATTCACCTGTTAATTGACATTTGGATGTTTCTCCCTTTTGGTCACTATGAATCACATTACTACAAAATTCATATATGTTTTCATCAAATATGTGTTTTCATTTTCTTGAGCATGTACCTAGGTGGGATTGATGGGTCATATGATAATTCTAGGTTTAATATTTAAGGATCTCCCAGACCTTTATCCAGAGCAGCTTCGCCATTTTATCTTCATTCCACCCCATATGAGAGTTCAAATTTCTCCATGTATCCTCGATAAAACTTATTGCCTCACTTTTTAATTTTAGCCATCCTAATTGTTGTCAAGTGGAATCTCACTGTGGTTTTGATTTGCATGTCCTTGATGACTAATGATATCCAGAATCTTTTCATATGCCCTTGAACATTTGTGTAGTTTACTTGGAAAAATGTGTATTCAGATCCTTTGTCATATTTAAATTGAATTATTTGATTTTTATAAATTGTTATGTCTAGATATTTTCATTACAAGTTCCTTTTCAGATATAAGATTGGCAAAATTTTCTTCCATTCTGTGGGTTGTGTTTTCACTCTCTTGCCCTAAAAATTTTACTTATATTTGTAGTAATATACACATACCATAAAATGTACATGTTCACCACTTTTAAGTGTATAGTTCAGTACTATGTAATACACTGCCATTGTGAAACCAATCTCCAGACAATTTTCATCTTCCACAAACATGTTGAGATAAACAAATAGACTGCCAGTTATTTCTCCAGCAAAATATGGGTTTATCCAGGACGAGCAAAGAATTGTAATTTGGGATCTGCAACCTTGGCATGCGAGATCCCTGGAGCAAGGAGACGACTCTTTTAAAGAAGGGAAAAGGATGTTGGGAGGGCTATCATAAACAAAGAATGATCTGAGCAACTGAGGGTTCAAAGTACAGTGGCTTTTCATTGGCTGAGTTATGACAGTTTCTCACTGGCCAAGATCTTGAGGCAAGAAGAGAAAGCCCTCCTTCTTTCTGTTGGGCTCAGCTATCCTCATAGGGTGTGATAGCTTCCCTTCTGGTCTCCTATTTAATTTAGGTTTCTGTTTATTAATTTTTTACATCCGTAAGACAACAAGTCCTCATTCTCCCATTGCCCAGCCCCTGGCAAAAACTATTCTACTTTTTGTCTCTAGGAATTCAACAACTCTAGGTACCTCATACCAATGAAACCACACAGTGCCATTTCAACAGTGTTAAATATTCTGATCCAAGAAATTAGGATGTTTTCACATTTATCTTACATTCATTTATTTATGTTGACCATGCTTTGTAGTTTTCTGAGTATTCATTTTGTATTCCTTTTGCTAAATTTATTCCTAATTATTTTATTCCTTTTCATCTTATTAGAAGTGCATGTCTTAGCTTCATTATATCATTCCAAGTGTATAGAAATACACTAAAAATAATTATTATATTTTGATCTTGTATATTATCACTCTGCTGAACTCAATAATGAGCTCTAATACTTTAAAAAAATTCTTTAGTCTTTTCTGAATAGACGATATCTCATCTGGAAATGGAAATAGTTTTTCATCTTCCTAACCAATCTTTAAGCATTTTATTGCCTTTTCTTGTATAATAGTTTTGGCTAAAATCTCTAGTACATTCTCAAATAGAAGTGACAAGACCAGATATCCTTGTTTTGTTCCATATCTTCAGATGAAAGCATCCAATCTTTCATCATTAAAAATATTAGCTTTGGGTTTTCCACAGATGTTCATTATGAGGGTAAGAAATTTCTTTCTATTCTGAGTGTTTTCATCATGGTGTATATCATAGGTGTATATCACTACAACCTTCCCTTTTACTACTCCTTATGCTGCATACAACTGTCCTTGTATATTTCTCTCCTGGTTTTTACTTAATACTAAACACCATGGAAAATATTTAATTTCTTCTGCTCTTTAATAAAAATTGAAGTTGTTACTTTTATTTTCTAGGTTTCCAGAAAATGTGCTGGAAGTCTAAGCATATGGAAATGAAACCTGTGAATAGCAAAATGTGCTGTGGGCTTTGTGGATCATCGAAACGAGAGGCGTCCTGCTTAAAGGAAAAAACATTAAAAATTTCCCATATCTCCTTTTATACTCAATTATAATATTACATGAAATGACACAAATCACCAAAACTTATAGGCCTCACTTGAGTCATAAAGGAGATATTAAAAATATTACATAGTATACTAAACAGTAAATTTATATATTATAACTGAGGTACTGCTTGGTACTTCAGGAAATACATCAGTGTTTAGATAACAAGTAGGAAATGCAAAAGCTGTTCCAAAGGACCAGGAGCTGGCCTGTATTCTTTGTAAGGCCAAGTCTTTTCCTGTTGAAAAGAAAAATGTCACACACCTCCTTCATCAAGGCACTCAGTGGCCATGAAGGACAAAGACATTTATATGGATATTTTATAACACTATCTCTAAAAATGGTAAAAGATAAAACTCCAAATCATAAAAATGACCAGTACTTTCCTTTTCTTCCTAATGTGACTGACTGGAATGTCTTATGAAAAAACTTTCACTCTAATTCTCATTTTTACCTTCTAGAAAACAACAATTATGATCACCAATAAGAGAAAAGTTTACCTCCTCACACCATTCAATACAGAAAAACATCTTGCTTGGTTAAATAGCAATCATATCCTCTAACAAGAGTCAAAATCCTATAAGAAGTCCATTTCAGCATCCTGTTGCTATTATACTTCACAGCCCTTTGCGGTCTGTGTTCATTCTTATTAAAATTCATTATACTCCTTTTTTTTTTTTTTTGTGGTACGTGGGTCTCTCACTGCTGTGGCCTCTCCCGTTGCAGAGCACAGGTTCCGGACATGCAGGCTCAGCGGCCATGGCTCACGGGCCCAGACTCTCCACGGCATGTGGGATCTTCCCGGACCGGGGCACGAACCCGTGTCCCCTGCATTGGCAGGCGGACTCTCAACCATTGCGCCACCAGGGAAGCCCCCTCTACTCCCCTCTTTGACTACAGGTGTGATCCTATGGGTCAGTGGCAGAGGGCACTGAAAAATTTTTACATTTTTGGTATTAAGAGTGAATGAGAAATGAATTTCAAATAAAAAATTTTAACTACAAAAAAGTAAAATTTTTCTGAGAAAAAAATACTTGAACATGATAATACTAATGCAAAAATATAATGATTAAATGAATAAAAATGCAAATTTATCTGAATATCCATAATTATAATGGGTATTTTAAAATATATTCTGAGAAAAGATAAACCACAGTATTTGTTAGCATACGAAAGCTTAGGAAAGAGTTGATAAAATATCTATCCGAAACAACTACAGAATCATTTCTTTCACCAAAAAATGAACATACTTTTAATCATGTACAATCAAACATAACTGAAAACAAAGAGGGATTATATTCAGCTACAAGTAACAGAAAACACCCATATTTTTCTTGATATGAGGAAGGGGCTTCTTCTCATATAGAAGGAGTGGGGTCAAGGCAGCCACTGCACAATGCAGCAAACTCCCATGTCATTGTTCATCGCTGCACCATTGTGAATGTCATGGTGAATCAGGAAAACATACTCACCAGCAATGTTAACAGCATAAGGTGTTTCCTACACAAGTTAGACATGATGAAGCTATAATCTACAGAAGAGGGTAATCAAACAATACTCCAAACCATGAAATTCTGAATTATTTTCCAAGTGGACACAGAAGGCTTCACAGAAAAATTCAAACTATAACAGATTTTGATGTAGAATTGTGAAGACATCAGAGGAAAACTACACTTCTGATAATAGAAATCAAACAGTTGGTGGTGGTTTTGAGGATACTCTTGAATACAAAGGCACAGAATCTGGAAAATAGGATGAAAGGTGGTGTCCTCAAACCTCCTAGGTATCTGTCTCTCTCCCAGCGTGGTGGCTCCAAAATCTGAAGTATGCCTTCTCCTCATCTGCCTTTAAATTGTACACAGGTGACGCTATTGGTTAATTCTAACATTGAACCACAAAGGGGATAGATTGTGGAAAATCTAGGTCCTAATATTACTCACAGGCAGGATATCTCCAACTCTAGATTTTTTTATCCTATCACAAGTCTCTCTTCTTCAAAGTCTATTCACCAAATACCAGTCAGAAGGAATGAAGAAGCAAATGGAAAAACATAATTTACGTGAATGTACACCCTTTGACAACCTTGCCATACAGAAAAAATTATTCCAAGTGTTTAACAGTATGGAAAATGGAAAAAGGCTCCTATACTCACCACCACCCAGAAAAGATCTTCCTGTAATAAAGGTACAGTATATATAACAGATTAAGGATATCCAAGAACTGCCACCCAAGGCCAGTAGGAAAATCTCAACAAATACCAAGCCTAATTGCCTATTAGAACTACACCTTATGGGGTATATGTATACGTATAGCTGATTCACTTTGTTATAAAGCGGAAACTAGCACACCATTGTAAAGCAATTATACTCCAATAAAGATGTTAAAAAAAAAAACAAACTACACTTTAATCACCCATAGGTCCAACAGACTTAAAAATGGAAAAAGAAAATATCATTACCTGATTAAAGGAAAAATCACTACCTTGTAACCTTATGAATTATTATTAAAAGATGACTTCCAGAATTACCTCACCTAAATATTCATTTCTGAGGGTAACTTGTACAAATCCAACATCAAGAAAGGCACGTTCATAAAGATCCTTAGTAAACACATATATTCATAAATTTTTATAACAAGTCTTTTATATTGAAAATTTTCTGAAACATTATTCTTGGATTACTTTCCAACAAGTTACCTCATGTTACTGACATTTATATTTGTTTCTCATGGGAGTTTTCACATATAAGTATGTGGGCCCACTGAAGTCTTTCCTAGGCTCTTTAAAAACTATATTTTTTATCTAGTGAACCCTTTCATGCTTTTGCAAAGTAGAGAGATCAGAAAAGGTTTTCCCATATTCTTCATATTTACATGGTTTCTCTGTAGTATGCATGCGTCTCTGAATGCCTAAGACAGAAATGTAGGCTTTCCCACATTCCTACGTTCATAAGGCTTCTCTCCAGGGTGAGTTCTTTCATGCACTTGAACATTAGTGGAAGCGAAGTTTTCCCACATATTTTACAGTCATAGGGTTTTTCTAGTATGAGTTCTTTCATGTTTTTGAAGAGAACTGGAAAAACGAAATGCTTTAGAACATATTTTACACACACATGGTTTCTCGCCAGTGTGAGTCCTTTCATGTGTTTGAAGAAAACTGGGAATAATAAATGCTTTCCCACATTCTACACATTTATATGGTTTCTCTCCAGTGTGCAGGCTCATGTGTCTTTGAATGCCTGAGAGAGATATGTAGGCTTTCCCACATTCCTTACATTTATAGGGTCTCTCTCCAGTGTGAATTCTTTCATGCACTTGAACATAGGTGGAACTGAAGGTTTTCCCACATATTTTACATTCATAGGGTTTTTCTCCAGTATGGGTTTTCTCATGTTTTCGAAGATATCTGGGAATACTAAATGCTTTAGAACATGTTTTACACATATATGGTTTCTCTCCAGTGTGAGTCCTTTTGTGTATGTGAAGAGAACTGGGATTATTGAATGCTTTCCCACATTCTTCACATTTATATTTCTCGCCAGTGTGCAGTCTCATGTGCCTTCGAATGCCTGAGGGACAAACGAAGGCTTTCCCACATTCCTGACATTGATAGGGTTTCTGTCCAGTGTGAGCTCTTTCATGCACTTGAACATAAGTGGAAGCAAAGGATTTCCCACATACTTTACATTCATAGGGTTTTTCTCCAGTATGGGTTCTTTCATGTTCTCGAAGGTATCTGGGAATACTAAATGCTTTACAACATGTTTTACACACATATGGTTTCTCTCCACTGTGACTCCTTTCATGTATTTGAAGAGAACTGGGGTTAATCAATGCTTCCTCACATGCCTTACATTCACAGGGTTTTTCTCCAGTGTGATCTCTTCCATGTTTTTGGAAACCTTTTTGAGAACGTAAACCTTTACCCCATTGCTTACATTCATAGGCCTTCTCTCCAGAGTGAATTCTTTCATGTGTTTGGAAACCTTGATGATTACTGAAACTTTTTCCACATTGCTGGAATTCATACAGTTTCTCTCCTGTGTGAGTTCTTTTGTGCCTCTGTAAGGAACTGTAATATTTGTAAACTTTCCCACATTCCTTACATTTATATGTATTATACAGTCCCTGATCATATTTTTTAAAATCTTGAGGTTTGTGTTCAATGTGACATTTCATGTGCCTATTAAGAGATGAATGATGCATGAAGACTTGTCCACATACACTGCATTCACATGGTTTTAATCCAGGAGTTTTCTTGTTCTGATCAAGAGGTGGAATAAGGCTGAAATTTCCTCCACATGGATTACGGTCTTTACGCTCAGAGAATCTCACTACCGTATGATTTCTGAAAATGTGAGAAGCACATTATTAATGATTTATTAATCATTTTATATGTATTGCATTTATTACAATTGATAGGAATAGTGTGGTTTTCTAATTTGTGTGAATTGTTAGGAATTGAATATACTGAATGCTCCGCAACGGACTGCACCCTTTCTATTGAAAAGTAATATTCAAATACAGGGTTTATTAATATTGCTTGCAAGTGAATTATTTTGCAAATACTGGACATTTATATAACATTTAAGAAAATATTTTTGAAAGAAACTTTCTAAAAATAATTAAATTAGAAGAAAGGGCTATTTGCTTCGTTTGCACATTTTTAAAATTTCGTAATATACCAGGATTCTCACGTGAGTCAAAGCTTTCTATTGTCAGTGTGACTTACCTTGGTTTTCCCCCCTGGTTTTTGTACTGCTCTTCAATGTCATCATCATCCCATTTTGTTCCTAAAATGCAGACCCAGTAAAATGATTCCAAAGATTGGAAATTAAAGAAATATTATTTGACTCTATGTATATTGTTAGCTGTGACCATGCCTGGTTTATATACCAACATCCTCCCTTCTCACATTACACAACTTAGAACATCAATGAGCAAGAAGCATTTGATCTCTACCTGAGTAACTGATGGAAAGTCCCCATCCTTACCTACTGAGGCCAGATTCCTAAAGGTTTCCTGCATCACATCTCTGTAGAGTTTCTTCTGTGTAGGATTCAGTAGAGCCCACTCCTCCAGGGTGAAGTTCACAGCCACATCCTCACAGGTCACTGAGTCCTAAAACATCCCAAGTATGTGTACAGTAGGATGAGTGACAGCACTGGACACCTATATTCCATTTATGGGAAGGTTATGTATGATTCTGTCCTTTACAAACATTTACTCACCCTCTGTCCATACCTTCTTCCTCATTAATTTATCAGTACCATAAAGACATGAAAATTATTTATACATTTTTACTGTGATCACATTACATTTTATTTCTCTCTAATGGCAGGGCTCAGAGAATACTGGGAAATGACAGAAATGCTATACAAATGAAACCAATATTATCATTTTAAGACCATCAATTCTTTATGAGAAAAATTATTTCATTTCCTTCCTTATTACCCACCAATTCCAGCACTCCAAGAGACAAGGGGTCAAATCTGTGTGAGGTTTCAATGCATAAACCACTGTGAATAACTACAAGCTTTTTCTTCTCTTCCCATTACCAGGCATGAGAGTCCAGGAGGCCTCTGGCATGTAACATTTAAAAAGGTCCAGCTAGTTACAGATCCTACAGTCCTCTAGAACATTAAAAGTGACAAGATACAACTGGCTGAATGAAAATATTCTTGGGGAGAAGCACTGCTTTTGCCCTGTGTCATATGTATTACAGATTCAGTACCTCCTTTGTCTCTCTGTCCAATTTAATGGACTAGAAAGTTATTTGGAACAGAATTCGGACATGACAAAGAAGGCATGACAACTTAAACCACAAAATCCCTACACTCCTGCACCTCAGGGCAGCTTCCTGCCAATTCTGGGAACACACAGGCATACACACTGAGATAATAATGCCAGAAGAGCCCATGTGGCACACCATGACAGTCGATCCTCATCCCTGCTGACATTAAAAAACAATTTAAGGAGAGGAGAACAAGATGGAGGAGTGGAGGGACATGGAACTCACCTCCTCCCGCCAGTACATCTACATGTGGAACAAATTTTTTAGAATACCTATTTAAAGCTTGCAGAAGATCTCATATAACCAAAGCTGCAAGAAAGATCCCCACATAACTGGGTAGGATGAAGGGAGAAGAGAGAAGAGAAACTGAGATGAGACCTGTGCCCCTGGGAGGGAGCTGTAAAAAAGGAAAGGTCCCCTAAGCCAGGGAACCTTCTTCACCAGCTGGGAGGTCACCAGGATAGATAGGGAGCTTCAAAGGCTGAAAAGGAGAGTGTGGCAGCTGGCCTGTAGCCTGGCAGGGTAGAGAGAGATCCGAACTGAAGGTCCTGGTAACGTGCCCACACTTCTCAGCCCAAGACATGTGCCTGCTGGTGTGTGCAATGACTGGGTGCAGAAACGTGGCTTCAACGGACAGACCCAGGGAGAGGACTCAGTTTGCCTGCACAGAGACAGCCCACAGGGCCTGGACTGTGGCCTGGGTCGCAACTGAGGGCATGAGCAGGACGGAGAGTAGGTCTGCCATAGGAGCCCCATTGTCAACACAGGCAGGAGGGGAACAGGTCTGCCACAGCAGCCTCATTGTCAGCATGCTCATAGAAGGGATCTAGCTGCAGTGGGTTCTTTGAACTTTGTGGGCCTGCACAAGCAGAGGCAGGGCTGAAATCTGAGCCAATTGCAGGCAGTCCTACTGCGGGTGCTGGGATGCAGCTCCAGCGGGTTCTTGTTCCAACAGATTTTGGGACCGGGACTGCTTGTGCTTGCCTGAGAGCCACCTGAGCCAACTATCTGCTGGGTCAAGGGGACATGACTCTGTGGGTTTAAACACTGGTGGCCCTGTGGGCACACATACACGCCTAAGGAATCTCTAACCTGATTACCAGAGCCCCCAAGGGAAGGTGGCCATCAAGGGCAGTGCCAGTAGCAGTGATCTTTGTGGGTACGCACACCGGGTGGCAAGTAGCATCACAGAATCACACACCCCACAGACATCTCCTGGGGATGAAGATGAAGCAGCTCCTCTCCCAGTGGGAGGCCTCCAGTGTCACCTACCTCACACCACAGCTTAGAACCGGATCTAGGAGCTTCTATTCCAACAACTAGAGAGCAGACCCTGCCCCCAACAGACCTGTGACAACCACAGAGCAAAGAGGAGGCCCCGCCAAACATCCAGTGCAGTCTCTGGTCACCACAAGGCCAAACACACCAACAAGGGCCAGCAGAACCTGATGAGACACATGGCAAGCATACATACTAAAAACAGCCCTTGCACCATGAATATTGGACTCAAGCAGTCTACACAGTGACACTCCCACAAAACATCAGCACTGCAAGACCACAGTAGATAACTGTTTCTCCTAAACTGACAGAGTCAGAGAAATATAAGAAAAATGAAATAGCAGAGGAACTACTCCCAATTAAAAGAACAAGAGAAATCCCCTTAAAGAACAAACAATGAAACAGACCTCTCCAGTCTACCAAACCCCAAGTTCAAAAAGGAGGTAATAAAAATGCTGAAGGTATTAAGAAAGGCTACCAATAAAAATGTGGATCACTGCAACAAGGAACTAGAAACTATAAAGATGAGCCAATCAACATTAGACAACTCCATTGCCAATATGAATACTGAGTTAAACATAATAAATAGCAAACTTAATAATGCAGAACAATGAACAAGTGACCTGGAAGAAAGAATAATGGAAATCACCCAATCAGAACAGCAGACAGAAAAACAAATGAAAAATATGAAAGTAACACATCAGATGTATGGAACAATATAAAGCATGCCAATTTACGCATAATAGAATCCAAGAAGGAGAAGAAAGAGAAAAGGTGATTGAAAAAGTATTGAATAAATTATGGCTGAAAACATCCCAAGCCTAAAGAAGGAAACAGAGATCCAGGTACAGGAAGCACAGAGGGTCCCAAACAAGATGAACCCAAACAGACCTGCTCTAAGGATATATCATAATTAAAATGGGAAGAAGTAAAGATAAAGAGAGGATTCTAAAGGCAACAAGAGAAAACCAAAGAGTCAATCACAAGGGAATCCACATAAGGCTATCAGCTGATTTCTCTACAGAAGCTTTGCGGGGCAGAAGGAGTGGCAAGATACACTGAAAGTCCTGAAAGGGAAAAACCTGCAACCTAGGATACTCCACCCAGCAAGATTATCATTTAAACTAGAAGGAGAGATATAGAATTTCTCAGAAAAGCAAAAACTAAAAGAATACAGCAGTACTAAGCCTATCTTACAAGAAATATAGAAAGGTCCCCTCTAAATGGAAAAGCAAGAATCTATATGAATGGGAAAATCAAAATAGTAAAGGTAAATATATAAGAGCACTGAAGATCACTTAAATAAACCAGTACATAGATTAAAAAAGAATCAAAAGAATACTGTGAAAGCAATTATAACTATAAGGAACAGCAAAAGGGTAATAAACATGAAGATGTAAAATAAGACATCAAAATCACAAAACGTGTGGGAAGGGAGTAAGAATGTAGATCTTTTACAATGTGTTTGAGCTTATATGACTACCAGTCTAAAGCAAGTACATAAAGGTTAACAAACTTGAAAATCAGGCTAACCACAAACCAAAAACATACAATAGATTCACAAAACCCAAAATGAAAGAAACTCAAGCATAATACAAAGAAAACCATCAAACTACAAAGGGAAAAACAAAAAGAAGAAAGGAACAAATAAGAAATATAAAATCAACTGGAAAACAAGGTTTTAAATGTCAATAAATACATACTTACCAATAACTACTTTATGTGTCAATGGAATAAATGCTCCGATCAAAAGACAGAGTGGTAAACTGGACAATAAAACAAGAACTTTCAATGTGCTGCCTACAAGAGACCCGATTTACAGCAAAAGAAACATAAACATTAAAAGTAAGGGAATGGAAAAAGATATTTCATACAAATGGAAATTACAAGAAAGTAGGGGTAGCAATACTCATATCAGACAAAATAGACTTTAAAACAAAGGCAATAAAGAAAGACAAAGAAGGACACTAGATAATGATAAAAGGATCAATACAAGAAGAGGATATTGCACTCATTAACATACATGCACCCAATGTAGGAGCATCTAAATACATAAAACAAATATGAGCAGACATAAAAGGAGAAATTGATGGGAATACAGTAATAGTAGGAGAGTTTAACACCCCAGTGGCATCAATGGACAGATCTTCCAGACAGAAAATCAGTAAGGCAACAGAGATTCTGAATGACACAATAGTTAGATTTAATAGCTATATATAGGACACTACATCCAAAGAAACCAGAATACACATTCTTTTCAAGCGCACATGGAACATTCTCTAGGATAAACCACATAGTAGAAAAAAAAACAAGGCTCAACAAATTTAAGAGGACAGAAATTATTTCAAGCATCTTTTCTGACCACAACAGCATGAAACAAAAAATGAAGCACGGAAAGAAAAACGAGAAAAAAATGATTACATGGAGACTAAAAACAACATGTCCCTAAAAAAACCAATGGGTCAACAATGAAATCCAAGAGGAAATTAAAGAATACCTCAAGAAAAATGAAAATGAAAACACAGCCATACATAATCTATGAGATGCAGCAAAAGCAGTTCTGTGAGGGAATTTCATAGTGATACAGGGCTTCTTTAAATAAAAACAACAAATCCCAAATAAATAACCTAACCTACCATTACAAAGATTAGAAAAAGAACAAACAGAACCTAAAGTCACAGAAAGAGGAAAATAATAAAAATCAGAGAGGAAGTAAATAGAGATTTAAAAAAAAAATAGAAAAGATCAATAAAACAGAGACCTGGTTTTTTGAAAAGATAAAAAAAAAAAAAAAAAATCAACAAACCTCTAGCCAAGCTCACCAAAAAGAAAAGAGAGAGGACCCAAAGAAACAAAATGAGAAATGAAAGGGGAAAAATAACAACCAATACCACAGCAATACAAAAAAATCATAAGAGAATACTATAAACAAGTATATGCCCACAAAATGGACAAGCTAGAAGAAATGTACAAGTTCTAGAAATATACAGCCTACCCAAATTGAGTCAAGAAGAAAGAGATAATTTGAACAGACCAAGCACTAGGAGTT